ATTAGGCTGTTGATCCTTAAGTCTCACAAACTGTGGTCTGCTTATCAGGTAGTCTTTGATCCAGGCAATTATTGAAGCCTCCACCTGAGTCTTCTGGAGTTTCTGACAACATAACTTAGGCTGAATTGTGTTAAATGCAATTGAGAAATTAAACATGATCTTTACAGCGCTGTCTGCCTTGTCTAAATCACAGTGGGTTTGTTGAAGCAAGTATAATCGCATCTTTAACTCCAACTCCACTGTGCTGTGAGGGCAATAGGTCTATAGTCACTGAGGAGTCTTGGCTAAATCTTCTGTGGTACTGGAACAAGGCAGGCTGTCTTCCACATCCCTGGAACTGTCTCCTTGGTCTTGCTAAGGTTGAATACAGTATGTGGAGCAGAATCCCACAGAGCTGCTCTGTAGAGGTCTTCAGGACTCAGGGGCTGACGCTATCAGGACCTGTTGCCTTTTTATGATTCAATCTCTCCAGTTGTCTCTTCAGTGGACTTCTATAGACAGACAGGTGAAAGGCAGAGGGAGTAGCACCATCTTCTGATTTGGCTGATAACAAGCCTATAGAAGCTGAAGGGAAAGAGGTTTACCTTCCAACTGAAAAAAATCTTTTGAGGCATTGATGATTGGGGTTTAAACGTTTCTTCCAACTAATCTGAATTGCTTCTTTTTTGCAAAAAAAAAAGAAAGATTATTGAACTCTCTAGATGTGCAACACTGGAAGAGACATACCCCCTAAATACTCGCAGCTGCTCTACAAGTTTTGACCTTAGTGACTGATTACTAACGTACAGCAGATTATTGATTATAAAAGGAAAACATGAAAAAACATTTTTGTTCAGCAACTTGCTTCATCATTTGCACAACTTCACAGATCCCTGAAGTTCTGAGTTATTTTCTGAGAAATATTTTGTTCCTTTTTTTCACTACAGTCATCTAGAACAGAGGTGGAGCTGCGGTTTCTTACAAGTCAGAACTCTATTGGATCTCATGACCTTGCAAATGATGATGTTTGCAATTATGGACTACATTCTGTTGATCTATTAAAAATATATCCAATAAGATGCACTGAATGGTTACCAAAGTTTTGGGGATTTATTTTACCTGCATTATTACGATGTCAACATGTGGCTATGCATGACAAATGTGAAAACAGCAGAATGAGGCTACTTTGATGATTCACATGTAAGCTATCTTCTGAAAACTTTATGATAAACAGGTACTGATTTCTTTTAGGACTGATTGAATCATACATGACAGCAGCTGTACCTGCAGGTGTCAGGACACCAGAGGAGGAAATATTTTTATGGCATAATTTGATTCCTAAATTCAAAGGCAGCGTGTATTCATGCATCTATAACTCACTGTATGGGAATCCTCTGACTCTTTTGCTCTCTTTTTTCATTATAAACCTCCAGATACCAAATAAGCAAATGAAAACACCTCAAGACAATCTGGAAAGAAACAACACCTGTCATGTAGAAGATAATGAGACTGCAACATGGCTTAAGTAGCGTGGAGCATGTGTGGATGCTGACAGCTCCCCCTCGTACGGATTGTCTTTCTCTCTTTGCGAGGCAGCGATGACACTAGCACACAAAATGCTTGTCGTGATCTATTAGAGCAGAAATTTGTCACAGGAGATTCCCGCATTTACAAATTCATGCATCAGACTCACACTATTGTTGCATGCACACACTCGATTTGAACTGGTACATATGTTTAAATAAACATTTGCACACACAACGATCCAGTGAGCAAGGAGGATAAAGTTATCTGCCGTTTTAGTGTGACTTTTAAATGAAAATACAGATTTTAGGCATCAATATTTCAGAGGGCCTGCAAATTGCCTCCAAGACATGCACTGAATTATTGAGAGAGAGCTGTTTGCAGTTTGAAGCATGTAGTGGGTGATTTTCCCTGACAGGGGGGGATACTTTCAGAGAGGGGGAAGACAATAGACTTGTTTTAGGTCTTTGGTCGTCTTCATTCGAAGGGATTTCAGATTTTTTGTGCCAATGTAAACTAGTGTTCCCTAAGAAAACATCTTGCACACTAAGTTGGATTAGACACTGAACATTATTCACCTTTCTAAACTGATCCACTGGTTGAAAGAGTCAGTGGTTAAAGTTTCTGAGTAAAAGAGGTCAAAGTTAAAAGAAAAAATATATATATCTTCACAATGAGCCATTTTTATTTTTCTAGATTTTTCATAACAGAACACATCTGAGCTCATTGCACACCCAAAGTCTCTGATGGAGTCAGTGTTATGTTTCTACCACACAGTCGGAATGTATTATAGATAAGAAAAATGTGTTTTCAGTGAAAAAGAGTTGTAAAACAAATCCTATTCACTAATTTATTCAGAACCCTCCACAGTTTAATCACTATTCATTGGTTTGTTTGTTTTTTGTAGAGATTTCTGTACAAGGTTGCCACCTAGAGTTTCAAGAATGAAATACTATTTTTTTTTTCTTTTTTTTTATCCATCCAACATCTGAACCCTAATTTCCTTGCAGTCAATGATGGGGCGGGTAGAGGTGCTGGTGGTTCCTACTGTAAGCAGTTATGAAATCATAATGAAATTGCTTTTAGAAATGATAGACCATTGATTAACTGTTAATAGGCTCTTTCATTACATTTATATTATAAAATAATTAGCTTCATTAAATAATGTAAATGCTATCAAAGCTTTGTGTGATGGGTAAAATGATATTTCCCAGGAGCCTAAATTACGCACTTTACACAAAGGACTGAGAGGAATATCTTATGAGAATATATTATCAATCAAAATGTAATAATGTGAATGGATATAACAAGAGATAAATTAGTTATTTTAATAGCAAATATATATATATATATATATATAACCATCAAATATACAGAAAGGAAATTTTAAACAAAAAACTGAACTTGACCATGTATATTATGTTTTCAAATGTAATATAGATTTTAAGTATTTTCCTTCATCAGAGGAAGTTAGAAAAAAAAAAAAAGGTAGATGCTTTTAAGGATGTATTGATACAAAACAATTTTGAAATCGATGATAGAGGAGACCCTCCAGTTGGGTTAAATCCGGTTTTACTTTACAAAATCCACTGTGAGGTCATCAGCCACTCAACACAGAGGGTCTCTCAGATGATTTTTATAATGAAGATAATTGATAAAATGTATAAACAAGACACAATTTGATATAAAAGCATTAGTCTGGAGTCTGTTTAAAGCCCTTAGCTAAGAGGATGAATGAGTACATTTATTTTCTGAGTTCTCCCCCAGAAGTAAAATATGATTACCTCAAAGCAAATGATTTGACATGCATCTAAATAAACTGTTTATAAAACAGCTTCATGTCAAAACAGTTTTGAGAGTCTCAGAAACAGTTTTCCCAATAAATGGAATACTGGACCTCATTTCTTCCCCTAATGACGGAATGGGTTGCAGAGCAGCAGTCTCAACAGAGACCCCCAGTCTTTTTTTCAGTGTAGTATCTGTTCATTAGGGTCAGATTTAGTGAGTTTCTACAACTGCATCTTCCCTAGCTGAATCTGAAAGCCTTGGCTTTGTTCAGAAACAAACAAGTATTGGCTCTGATTAGTGTAAATCTGAGGAAAAACAGTGACTGAGAACAATGCAGTGCTGTGATTCAAAATAAAGTAAAAATCAAGGTGTTGAGCTATAACAATAAAGTATGGAGTTAAGGTGGAGAACGTTGTGAACACTGTCAGGCAGGGTAATGTAGCACTATTCTAGGGGGCTAACTCAATTAGGAAAATATCTCAAAAGACACTGAAAAAACTTTGACTTGGAATGCATGAAGGAAACCTATGTTAAACCTCTGGAATGGCCGCTGAGCTTCAACCTGTGGAAATTTTATGACCCAGGGTTAAAAGCCTAATCCCTGCTATAATTTGTTAGATGAAAAGTTGTGCAATAAAATGTATTTAGCTGTGACTTGAAGGAAATATGTATTTATTTAGCTTTGAAGATACTAAAATTGATCTGTAAATAACCCAAATTTTTTTTGTCTTAGATGGTATTAAAGTTGCATGTTGCATAATCAGTCCCCCAATAAAAACAAATGAATTCCCCATATGACATTTATTATCACAGCTTGATATAAACCTCTGACTGGAAGTGGATTTGATTATATCTTTAGCAGAGGGCCGACTGCATATCAATACACATGAAGACTTTTCATTCACGGAAAATTTGCTGTCATGTTTAGGACTCCCCCCGCTGTTCTCTTAAAGCATTTTACATTCAGGTGACAAATTTTATGGTTAATTTCAAAGCTTACATTTATCATCTTTGGGCTAAAGGTTAACCAGTTATCTATTAGAAATAGTCACATTTCTCTTCATATTTAAAACTGTCTGTTGAACTTAAAAAGGGACCTAGTTAGTGGCAATTCTAACAATAAGAGCCTGTTTAAAAAGCTTAATTGATGCAATTTGTCCACATGCACATTTCAATGTCTCATATCATAACATGTTCTTTTCCATTTCAACTTTGTTAGTTTTGCATCTGGGAGTCAACCTTGTAGATTTCTTATGTACTTCTACCTCAAAGAGAACATTTCTCCTTCCATGACGTTATGTTTCCTCACCATTATCTGTGAACTTATCTCATTGTTTGTAGATGCATTGTAATAAATTGAGCTCCTGAGAGTGAAACTTGCTTTCTGAAAGTCTGCCTGTCTTGGTGTTTTATTTTTTTCCACACCTCTGGTCGTGAAAATTACCAGATAATCGGATTTTGATTATTTGGATGTGTGAGCAAAGACTTTTGGTGTATATTAGGATATCTACAATGTTAGGTCATTAAATTATCAGAAAATTGTCATTTTTAACTCTTTGGATATACAAGGTTATTTTGAGACAGGACTGCCTGAGGAAATTGAACTGCAACTTTTTCTGGTGAGTTTTTAATAATTTACTGTGAAGGTTAGCTTAAAGAAGTTGGGTGATCATATTCCAGGTGACTGTATAATAATCACAGTAGGTCCATAAAGACTTCCTAGTTTTTAATCTGCAAAAACAATCCTGTGGAATACAGTATTATACAATCCATTTAATCAGTAGCACACTCAGTAAATTGAGATGTTAACAAAATGGAGAACAAACCATAATCTATTTTGTTTTAGGGGATCATTATTCTAGATGAAAAGGAAACAAAAAATAACCATTCCAGCTGAAGGATTGCTAAAGCTGCTTCTCAGGCCATTTTGGTTTAAGACTGAACCCTGGAATGCTTACGGAGTTTATTGGCAGAAACATTAGCCTCAATCAGGAGTTGCTGAAACGAGGCTCCATTAAACTGACCAACTTCTGGAAGGAGTAGTTAAAACAGGTGTGACGCAGCTTCAATAAAGTCACACAGATTGTGTTTTTGGCCGTTGACAGTCAAACAGAAGCCCCTCGCTCAGACTGTGACCCCTCAACCTCTTTTTGTCCATATTGAGTCGTTTCCTCCGGCTGCTACGGCTTCTTGTTGTGAGGGGCGGGTGCAACATCCCTGTTGACTTTCATGAACACAACCTGTCAACGGTCCAGCGAGCGTTTCTGAATAGCTTCGGACACCGCTGTGCGCAGGAGGGCAATGACAGAGCGAGGATCGTCACTGCCGATCACAGCACTGCCTGACACGATCATGTTAGCTCCTGCCTGTGGGAAAGGGTGAGCATTCACTTATTACTACAGGCTTAAGCTACTCAATGATTTTCTAATATTTGCATCATTTACCTCTGCACACTTGTGAATAGTGTCAGGACCGACGCCTCCGTCTACTTCAATGTCTAATGAGGGAAACTGACCACGCAGCCAGCTCACCTGGGTGATGCACACAGCAGCAGAGAAAAGGTCAAGCATATCTGACAACATTTTAAATCAGATAAACTGAAAACGAAGCTGTTTTGAGATCTGTTGCAATGTTTTTTTCAAACAACAAACAAAAATATTAGTAGATAGCAACTAATAAAAATTATATTCTCATACATTAGATTTAATAACTGAGAGTTTATATGTTAGCTTTCAGATATTGCTTTAACACCATCGTGTCATCGACATCAAGGGTCATCCTTTCAGATAAAAAGCACTCCAAGAACACCACAAAACACCTGCTTCTCAGGGGATGATTTGACAGTCACCTTCCAGTAATCACAATTTACACCACATCAAAGATTGTTCTCTGTATCACACATAGTGCTATAAATACATACTCACATGTGGCATTAACACAGTAAACCAGAGCTATGGCAAAGCCTTCACATTCATCTATATATAAAGAAGCTAAACTGTTGTCAAGAACACAGCTTTAAGGTTTTAGTGAAAATCCTTTTCAACAATTACTGTTTAAGAATGAAAAAACCTTTGCTTTTAAAATGTTATATTTAAAGTGAAGTTTTATGTTCTGGAACTATTGGGATCACCCACAGGGCTAAAAAATTTCACCATTCGGGGTCAGAAAAAGTGCAGGAATTGGTCTGTTAGTTTCAATTGAGACTTTCTTGCATGTTGCCAAAGATCTCTTTGTGAGCCAGCAGAATAACGGTACTAGAACCACCCCATGTTTAGGACGGTCCAAACCTGCTTCCCAAACCGTTTAAGGCTTTGAAATTCTCCCTCACAAATTTCAGATTGAAAAAGCCATGTTTTTCAAAGTTATTTTAAGGAATTTTGATTAAAGCTATAAAATGCAAATATTTTATGCATCTAGGTGCAGCATAAAATCTTTGGACCTAAAGAAGCCCAGATAGATAAGATAGATATTTTTTGCAGTCCAGCCCTTTGTCTGCATAATTAAGGAAAGTGTTTGTCATAGTTAAGACACCTCTGGCATGGATTCTAAATGGCTCCCCCTGGTGGTTCTAGTGATATTGACATTTTAAAAATTCCTATGCCAAGTTTATAGCTTAACACTAAAGCATATTACAACCCTAATTGTGACCAATAATGAAAAGATAATGTTGGTTACATTTCTTTACCTTAGGCATCATGTCCTCCATGAACTTTTGTCCTCCAAAACCAGGTTCCACTGTCATGACCAGAGCCATGTCGATCTGATTAGCCCAAGGTGCCAGTTCTTCCACTGTGGTACCAGGCTTTATGGCCAACCCCACCTATGACAAAAGGAAAAAATTAAATATCAGCTTTAATTCCATTATCACAAGCCTGAAAAGGAATTTACGAAAATGTCTTTTAAAGAATTTTAATATTTATTCAGACTAGAAAAGTCCTTTTACCCATTAATGTGACCCAGAACAAAAAAGAAGACCTTTATTTTATTGTTTGCTTTCAGGTTTTACTGTAAGCAAGTGGACGCTAAATTCTACAAAATGCATGTAACGATCGTTGCTCCCACTGGAATGAAGGGACATGGGTAAGATACAGCTCTACTTTAAGAAGGAGGAAAACTATTCCTTCATGATGCACCTCTTTTTGGGTATTTTTGTCGTTATTACATCTGCAAAATCAAAAGTGTCAACAGCTTATTCAATTCAGGTTTTGAGATGTTTCATTTCTAATTGTGAAATATTGTTGGAGGATGTGCCTTACGAGCCAAAGGTTTTATGTTTTCTGTATGTGGATTAAATTGAGGTGTGTCTCAGTTCAGTAGCTTGGTCTGGATCAGGGTTTGCTTTAGAGTGTATTCACAACTGCACCAAAGGTCTGGACCAAAGACTGGTGAGTTAAAACCTGACCAGAAATGGAAATAGTGAATGCACCCTATCTTAATAAATGGTGCCTGCAGAAATAAAATGAAATGAAATACAAACTTATACCAGAGACTAAAAAAATGCATTTATTTTGTTTCATTTCCTACATTTCCTGCAACAGTTTCTTCCCCACTGCCATCAGACTGCTGAATTGTTGAAAAAAACGCTAAATCAAGTCACAGACTCTGCATCACACTGATAACACCAAACCAAAAATACTGTTTATTTGAACTATACACATTTAATGCTTTGAACTTCCACATAAATTAGTTTTTTGCACCCTGTTTTTTTATTCCACATTGTGTACATTTGTTCACTTTTTGAAATGGAAATTAATTATCTGAAAAGCTGTACTAAGTGAAATTTTGTTTTGAATACACTGTGTGTATAGAAAATGAGAATAGAAGTTGCCTAAGTCTAACATAAAAGACACTGCTTATGATTCTAAGATACATTTATAGAGAATGGATGCAAATCAGTGGAAGTTTTTTTTTTTCTTTCACAGGTATCAAAAAAAAAATGTCATACCACCATTATGTGATAAAACTGAAGAATATTTCTTCAAGTAAAAAAAAACAAAAAAAAAACACTGGAAGAGAAAAAATCAGCTTTTTTATTAGGCCATCAAAACAGGCCTCAGGCTGAACTGCTGAGGCATGTTTACTGGGTTAGAGAGATAAATTCAGGTTTAATCCTAACTTTTAGGTATCACAATGCTGGATTTATTCTTAGCGTGGCTAGTCACCATGGTAGCATATTTTGAATGAACCCTGCTCTGGGAGATCTGGTTTTAGGCTTGATCTGAATCCTAGAGAAAGCTTCACCAAGCAGCCAATCAGATGTTCGGGAAAACATGATGTGCCCCTTCATTAATGACCCGACAAAAAAAAAACTCAAGAATACACATGTATATATATATATATATATATATATATATATATATATATATGTATATGTGTGTGTGTGTATATATATATACTTTTTTTTTGGAGTTATATATAAATATATATATATATATATATATTTTTTTTTAACATGATAACCATTATTATAAGCCTTTATTTCGGGTAATATTATGTTTAGTAGTGATATACTCTAGGAGAGGGAAAATACTTTAATACTGTATGAAAATACATAATGAGAATTAACTAAAAGCACTAGAAATGTGTGCCTTATATATTATAAAACCAACATACACGAAAAGCATTGGAGAAAAGATGCAGATTTTTTCAAGCTCTGACTTTGCAGTTTCTGTAATAAGACCCATATACTGATACATTTTCTCTTAAGTAATAAACTAAACCAATTTGAATGAACTTTTAGTTTAGAGTCAATGTATGCTTACAGAGTATACAATTAACTAGGAATATAAATCACGAACAAGGGTTTGGATTTCTGGTAACACATAGTAGGCATTAAATAGTGCAAGTTTATTACCATAAATTAAAGTATTTTTGAATACTATTATAAGACACATCTGAACTAAATGAAAATCTACAGACCCATTGTCTCAGATTATGATCTCTAACCTTCATGCCGCTCTCCTTTATCTCCTTGATGAGGTTTCCAGGGTTGGTGGTGGCCTCTAAGTGGAAGGTGTACTGGTTGGCTCCTGCTGCAGCCATCGGCTTCACCCACTGCTCTGGTCGGGACACCATCATGTGCATGTCTGCAAGGATGTGAGAAGAGTGGAGCACATTTAGAATTATGTTCATCATTTGATATTGCATGTTCTGGGATGACTCCCTTCTCACCAAAAAAAGGATCCTGGCCTACAGTCTTCCTCAGACACTCTACCATGGGATGTCCAAATGTGATGTTGGGGACAAAGTGCCTGAAAAGGTCAACAGAAACAGCTGTTGAGCAATTCTCCAATACTGCCTCATCAACTGTGAATTTAATCAGATCCTGGAAAGCATGGGTTAACTATTAAAGATAAAAAGGAAGGTTAAAGTCTAAAGTAGGCAATACTATATTCTAAATGCTTTTAAATGTAGATTAAAAACTCGAGAAGTGACACTCTTGGAAAACTCACATTTAACGGCTTAACTTTTTATCTGCTAACTTAGCTTTCTGATGTTAGCCAACTTCTGCTCTCAGAGCTTGTGTTTAGCTTGTTAGCTATTAGCATGCTCGCTAAGGAAGCCCGGGAGAAACTGACCCGTCCATAACGTCCAGGTGCAGATAGTCCGCCCCGCACTCCATCATCCGGACACACTCGCTGCCCAAACAGGACAGGTCGCTGCTCAGGATAGACGGACCTATCTTCGCACTGTATGCCATGCTGTGTCTGCTGTTGGTGGGATTTGCCTGCAGCCGCGACAGGCGAAGTACGAGTCTACCTAAGCGTAACATGTTAGAGCTTCCGGTTAGGACCTTCAAAATAAAAGTGGGTAGTCACAGCGGTAACTACTGCCCCAACCCCAAGTTTTTAAACTGCATTTTGTAATAAGGTGAGGTAATAATAATACCCCTTACCTAACAAAAGTTTTCACAAGTTTACATCTGTCGGGTTTTTTTGTTTGTTTTTTTTCTGCTACAATACAATCTATACGGAAGACGATTAGGGCCAATGAAAAAAATAAAAAAAGTTCACTGATTTTTAAATGTTATTTCAGTTTACAGTTTTTCTGAATGCTTAAGCACTAATCGTGATTCTTGTACCACAATTTCTAAAACTATTAATACGTATAGCAAAACCACTCACTGAGTTTGCAAAACTAAAAGCACAAACACTGCATTGCACTCAGTTTGCAATTTTGTAACACACATTTTGCAAAACACAATTCACTGCACAACACTCTATTACCACATTTCCAACACACTCCTAGCAAAATTATACACATGTATGGCTATCGTTAACACTATTTTGCCAACTGTCTGGCACACTTTCACATGTGAAAACTGTTTTAGATAATTAGTTCACTTTGCAATCAGCCTAAGCACTATAAATAAGCCACAGGTAAGCTGTGGCTTATTTAAGGATCATAAGGACATTTCGAAATGAGAATCGGTATACTATAATGAGAAAAACAACAGTAGCATACATGCAAAAATACAGAAATTGTTACTTTACAGAATTGCTAGACGTCCAGATGTTGGTGGCAGAGGAAGAATGTTCACTCCAGAGCAAGAGACCTATAGTGAACATGGTGATTGCCAATAATGCAATAAGACTGCACGAAATACAGCAGTGCATAATTGATAATGACACCGTGTTTCAAATATAAACCCACTAAAACTGGGTTTGAAAAAAACATCATGCTAAAGTTTACTTTGTTGTACTTTTATGCATGTAAAGAAAATGAGTAATTGCATATGTGTACGGTACATGAAATGTGGCATAAAGTTATTAAACTTCTGTGGAAGCACAAAACTAGCTTTACTGGTATAACTTTAAAATTATGATTTATTTTATTTTTTTATTTAAGTTTTTCCATTTCCATTTGTCATTTTCCAATCAACCTTTTTCATATCATTTAGAAACCAGTAGGTTTAAAGACTTTCCATTGAGTGCTATATGAAAATAATGAAAAGTTTGCTGAAATAGAATAGAATAGAAAATCACTTTATTGTCCCACCATGGGGAAATTCTGGTGTTACAGCAGCAAAAGGATTATAGAAAAAAATAATCACAAAAATGTGGACCTTAGAAAAGGTGTATATGACTAACATATTAGTGAATATAAAAAAAAAAAACTTAAATAACCAATATACAGCTATGGACATTTTTACAGTAATGGATATTTGAAAAGTAGCAACAACATCAGAGATGTGCAAAATGAAAGCAGTGTGTTATTTAACTGACTAAGGTAGAAACTGTGCAAAATCAGCATGAATGTAACAACTTATTCAGGTTGTGGGAACAGTGGTGGTTATAGAGCATTACAGCTGCTGGGAGGAAGGATCTGTGATAATGCTCCCTGGTGCATTTAGGGTGCAGCAGTCTGTCGCTGAAGGAGCTCATGCATGGGGTGGGAGACATTATCCAACAGAGATATTCGTTCAGTTAGAATCCTTTTGTTTCCCACCTCCTGCACTGAGTCATCCAATCACGGAACTGGCCTTTCTGATTAGCTTTATCCAGCTGCTTTCTCTCAGATAAACCACTGCTCCAACAGACAGCTCCATAGAAGATGGCTGATGCCACAATTGAGTCATAGAAGGTTTTTAAAAGCACCCGCTGCACTCCAAAAGACCAGCAGGAAGAGTCTGCTCTGACCTTTCTTATACAGAGCCTCAGTGCTACCATACATAGATATAATTTACTTGTGCATTAGTATAAGCCGCATTTGTTGCAGATTTAACCTCACTTTAAACTTTGTAAGTAGCTTTGATAATGCAAAGCTACTGCTTCCTTTTACCCCTTCTTTTATTTCCAACTACAATGATAACTTCCGGTTGTACTTTAACTGTAATCGCTACTTGATAGATTTATGCACACCCTCTGCATCACACGTCTGCTTTCAAAATATGACATACCAGCCTTTGAACACTAGATGGCGCCTAACTCATGTTGCTCCAGGTTTTTGAACCTCGGTAGATTTTAGATGTGAATAAACATTACAACTGCATTAAAAGAGCAACTTTGTCGTTAAAAAAACAGTCTGTAAAAACTATGAAGTCTAAAGTTAAAATCTGCACACAATTTTAGATGATGACGATGACAATGCCAGACATCTCATTTTTACTCAGCTTCTGTTTTCCATTTCCTTTGGTTTTATTTTGTAATACTTCTGTGTATTGCCAGAGCTTCTTCTTGGTGAACACTTTGTCTATAAACTACCATGTTGTTGTTTTCTCGAAATGTAGGACACAGTGCAAGAGTTTTCCTACCTCTGAGACATTTTCTTTTTTTATTAACAGAATACCAGCAAAATAAACATACTTTTGAAGTGGGATGAACATATGTATGTCTCCACTTCCATTTTTCAATTTGCGTATCAGCCATAAAAATCCAGACTCCTATACATTCATGTTTAGGTTGTTTCACTCTAAGGCTGTCCTGTGAAGGTTTTAGAGGGAGTTAGAAGATAACAGTGAAAAAATAGCATAATAAATACCAAGGAACACATGAGGAAGGCTACGGACAGCATTATTAACTGCCCAATGTCCTAAGCTTTGGAAATCTGACAGATTATTCTCAAATTCATTGTATGAACATATGTAAGGTTTGAACCAACAGCTAGTATACTAAGACATGGCTGTCCAAATAAACGGACAGGTCAGGTAAGGAAAACCAAAATGGCAATTTTGGTGGAGCTGCAGAGATCCATTAGCCTCGTGAGACCATCCTGATCTCGCGAGCTTTCAAGGTTTCACTCGCGATCAGTCTGGAGACTCTCTGTTAAAGAAAATTTGGAGCCGTTCACCAAACGAACGTCCAAGCAGCGTTGGCTTTGAGGCGGGTTGAGGTGTGACGCAACGAGAAGCGCGACAGTTCAGTCTAAAGAACATGGCGGCTTCAGCCGATGAGCAAGTTTTATCGGAATAACAGAGTATTTCTTCACTGAAAGAAGAGCAAAACACTGCTCTGGAGGCTTTTCTCAGAGGAAAAGATGTTTTTGCTCTTCTCCCGACTGGTTTCGGCAAGAGTTTGATCTTGTGGTTGTGTTTTCGTTGTCGCTCTGTTAGTATGTCATATGCTTCGTTGATCTGATTGGTTTATTTGGCCCGTCTATCACCAACATAGGCCAATCAGCTAACCAGTATTTTCGCCCCTTCCCAAAATTACTTCAACAGAAGGTTTCCAGATGGATATGCAGATCAAATCCATCTGGCGGAGTCAGGTTAGTGATCCATGGCTCTGGTGGAGCTCTTAGCCATGGGCACATTTGTTGCCTATGTGGATAAGCACCATAAGAGAAAGGTATTGTAGAAAGAAATACATTATTCATCTAGAGGTGAGCATGAATTTCCAGCAGGAAAACAACTTTAACACTGCATGAAAAGTGGGATTTTCGTCAATATGCGGCACTGTAGATTGTCGTGGAACTTCAGGTTAGCGGCAGTTTACGACAATTTGCAGGCTTCGCCGAAAACTCCCGTAAATTGTCAGAAATTGACGTGGACTCTCTTAGGCAGTGTTCCCCCCATGCCTCCCCCCCATGGAATTCTAGGGGAGGCTTTAACATGTAAATGAACATGCTGTGAGCTATACAAATGCAAACCAGGGTTGCAGGGGGGGTTTTACCCCAAGTGACATCTTTCTGGGTAAGAAATTCTCTGATACAAAGAGATCAGGCTTAGTATAGCCTCTTACATTTTAGCTTGAATTGATTCATTTAATTAAAGTATAGAGACCAAAACAGATCTTTAGCTGACAGAGCAATACATTTAGAGCAGTAATTATAAAAAAAAAAAAATTGCATTTAAGATAAAAAATAAAATGTTGTCTCTCAATATGCTCAATTCACAATTACTTAAGTGGAAAAGTTTCAAGAAATGAGTCTGAGATGATTTACTTTATAACATGGCGCATTATCCTGTTGGAAGTAGCCATCAGAAGATTGGTACACTGTGGTCATAAGGTCCGGCCAGGTCAAGATCCGCAATTGCAATCGCACCAAACAGGAAAAAGAACATCGACAAATTCCGGTTCGTCAAATTAAAATATAGCAGCAACAGATCGGTGACTAGAAATTATAGCACAATTCTTATATATATATATATATATATAAAAAAAAAAAACTAACACCGTTTATTTAAATGATTGGATCCAAACAATTGGCTATTCACCAACGAGGAAGCAGATTTCTCATCTCCATCAAAATATTTATTTTATACCGAGGGACTTAAACTTTAATCAAATCCATTCAAAAGAAACTTCTTATTACAGGAATGAAAAGAGATGCTGAGTTTGGAAGTAGTGAACAAGTTCATTTAAAAAAAAGCAGTTTTGAATTATCCTTATCCCCGTTACAAAAATCTACAAAAAAATATATATATATTTGGGCAGAAACTGAACATATGCTGGATGATGGTGGGATTTTTTTAATATGTCATATTAAATTAAGCGCTCACAGGGTTCATACAGGAATGAGTGACTCTAATTTAATGCTATTTTAATGCTATTTGAAATGATTTTAATGCCATCATCAAGAACCATGTACACCAGTGACGTGCGGTCAGGGGAGGCAGGTGAGGCAGTGCCTCACCAGCCATCATGGAAAGAAAGAAAATATATAATCATAAAGTAATTTAAATTGTTATATTCATCCGGTGGTTTGTACTAAAAAATATTCATTTTTCATGTAGCTTCACCAATTTCGATTTTTATTTGTTCAAAATCGCTGAATTTTCTTATTTTCCCATTCAAATGCTTGGAAGCGATGCCGGTGAGGCAGCAGCGAGC